CCTTGCTCTAAAGCCTTTATTGTGCTCTTACTGGGATTTGGTTTTAATGTCGTCACAATTGCATTTCGTAGAGCACTTCGAGGAGTAAGTGGGGTTTTTAGAGTATGGGTAGAGCTAGAGGGGCTCTGGTCCAGGGTTGAAGAGGACGGTGTAACCTGGGCTGTTGCTGAGGAGGGGCCAGGGTTCTGATCAGGTACTGATGACGATACAATCTCAGTCTGCTCTGGCTCTGGAGGTTCCATGGTCTCACTCAGAGTTATCTTTGATTGGGGAACTCGACTCATGTCTAGTGGACATAATCCGCTCTTTGAAAAACCATTAACAGCATTTCCTGGGTGTGCTACCATGTGCTTAAACAACTCATTGAGCAATATGGGGAAGTGTTCCTTCTTTACCTTTTCGTGTCGTGACTCGAAGAAGAATTTAGTTAGAATTTTTCTCCATTCTGCTTTAGCACTCTTGAAGACAGAAACATCTAGGGGCTGAAGTGCCCCACTGGTGTGCGGTGGTAGACATACAATCATAATACTGTTATCCCTGGCTGTCTTAACAGTGTTGTACGTCAAATGGCTATTGTGACCATCAAACACAACCAACACAGGTTTTGTTCTTGCCTCCACAAACGGTGTGAAATGGTCAATGAACCATGATTCAAAGACAATACTTTCCATCCAGCCACTTTTAGTGCAATTATACACTGTCCCGGGGGGTCCTCCTGTAATCCAGGTGGTATGGAGGTTCTTAGCTTTATATACCACATAAGGCGGTAAATACTCCCCAGCAGCGCTTACACAAAACATTACAGTGTACATAGCCTTCCCCTCACTTGGAAGTATTGCTTGGGCGTCCCTTACACCCTTTCGGAAAAACAGTTTATGCAACTTAGGGTCCGTGGAGAGACCAGTCTCATCCAAGTTAAAGATGCGTGTTGGACTGTTCAAAAGACCATTTGCATTGGTAGTCACCACATTTTTGAACATACTGAAAAATTTTTCCAAAATATTCTGACTAAGCCCCTTTGCTCGTGCTGCTGTTACTGTTTCTGGCTTCCTGATAGATAAAGCAGATTGATGACGTTTTTTGAATGCCGTGAACCACTCATACCCAGGCCTGCCTTTCTTGAATCTAGTCTCTTTGTTTGTCGATTTAACATATTCAGCAACAAGGTCCAGTACTTGATCCATTCCCAGAGGCCAGCCAAGATCGCTGCAATATTGGATTGCTAATACAATATACTCCTCCTCAGCTGTAGTTAGATCTGTGTTTCGACCTTGAACTAACTTACCTGGTTCTTTAAGGCATCTTTGCAAGGTTGTTTTAGAGACTTCAAAGTGTTTAGCAGCAGCACATATCGTCATTTTACCTTTTAACACTTGATCACAGGCTTCCACCATCTTGTCTTTGTCAATAGCTGGCTTCTTACGAACATATGTTCGTGGCATACCTAACCAGTAACCTAATGAAATTGTGGTTGTTCATGTTATCTATACTTTGTCAAGTTAAAGTAGACTAGATTGCGACAATTACTTTCAAATCAATGATGTAGAATCCATGAATCATTTCGGCTCAAGACACATTTAAGACAACACAACCATTGAACACAACAAAAACTGTAAACAACAAAAACTGAACACAACAAAAACTGTACTAGGAACAAAAATTCAACATCCTAGTGATGAAATGCAGTACAAGAATATTTGCAGTGCTTTGCCCATTACACAGTTTCAAACTAGGAAACAAAATAAGGCTGGACAAAGCAGTTTTTGCTGATGAAACTAACTTGGTCCGTTTTACCCCAATTCAATAAACTCTCTTTTTCACAACAATAGGACTGTATATACATTTCATTAGTTCTAATACACAAGTAAAATACACTGGCAACCACTACAGTAGACACAGTGTCTTTTAAATAGGTCAAATTGAAATGGTCCGTTTTACCCCAGCTAAGGTCCGTTTTACCCCAGGCCTGGTCCGTTTTACCCCGTGGTCCGTTTTACCCCGTCCTACCCTATTCTAAATCTAACTGGTAGAAAACGAACTTTCTTAAGTAGTGGAGTAGTGTGTGCCTTTCTTCCTCTCCCGAAAATAAATCTTACAGCAGAATTTTGCACCTTCTGTAAACGACTTAAATCATAAGAGCTCAGTCCAAAATATACGCTATTGCAATAATCAATTCTAGAGAGTACTAGAGCATGAACAAGCTGAATCTTAAGGTTAAAAGACAGTTTTGATGCAATAAACCACAAATTTCTGATCTGAATATTACATGCTTGAACCACTAACGTAATCTGATCACTCATTGAAAGATAACTGTCCAAATACAGCCCAAGACTCTTCACAGTTCCACTAACAACATGTGGCTCTTGATCCTTAACAATCTGTAGAGAGGCTGGAATATTTTTTGAGTCAAATTTAGAGGATATAACGATGACTTCAGTTTTAGAAGAATTCAGATGAAGGAAATTGTTTGTCATCCATTTCTTGATATCAGACATACAGTGTTCCATATTGTGCTCTAGCTGTGATGGGTCATCAGAATCAAGAGTGAAATACAGCTGGGTGTCATCAGCATACAAATGAATACAGCACCCATGCATACTTGCAATGTTCTCAAGATCTTTGGTGTACAATATGAATAGCAGGGGGCCAAGGATTGAACCTTGTGGCACACCTATCTCAAGAACAGTTTTAAAACTTTCCAATCCAATTTTAAAACTAAAAACTGTCAAGCAGTTCTTCACCTCTGAAGGGAGTTTGTTCCAATAAGGAACAACCCGCTCTGGAAGAAAAGAACACTGAAGATTCTTGACCTTTGTCACACTCTTACTACATCTATTGGATGAAACCAGATTAAGACCTGATCTGCTTGGTCTGAACAAGTCTGAGCCATAATCATTCAAACCATTAATAACCTTAAAAGCTTCAATAAGGTCCCCACGTATTCGCCGCTCTGCCAGCGTTGTCAAATTAAGGATTTCCAGTCTATGGCTGTAAGGAAGAGTACCCACCTCATCAATCAGATGGGTAAACCGCCTCTGGACGCTCTCCAGTTTTTTTTCTCCATAAAAAGCACAATAGCGTGAGTATTCGAGGTGCTTCGAAAAATGATCTTAAACGATTATCTGTTCAATATTCAATGAAACAAGAAATTTCAATGAAACAATAAATTTAATTTCAGCACATTTTACAGAAATGTGCTAAAATTAAATTTAGTGTATGACTTTTTGTCCTTGACTGCTAGTTTGGTTTTGGAAGGATAGGTAACTAACGGGGCAAGGAATGCGTGTGCCTGAAAGCTTTTGCACACACCGAAACGCTAGTTCAATTAAGTTTTTAGAGACAGGGCTCCTATTAGGACTAGAAGAAAATTGTTAGCAGACATTAGGGGTTCTGTTTATAGTTGTTACTATAGGTTGCAGTCTTGTTGTGACAAAAAGTCTGCACTAAACATGCTTTAGTTTATATTGTGTAGTTCAAGGATATAAAATGCATCTTCAAGGTGGATATTAGAGAGCTGGCAAAAGATTATGGCCTTTGTATCAATGGTTATAATAATATTGGTCGACTTACGTCAACTTAGTGCTGAATCAAGCCAGTTATAGAACTATTTCATACATACAGTGGCATAACGTTGCCTGTTGGTGCCCCTCCCTAAAATTGAACAAATTAGGTGATTTTAGAGTTAATCCTGGACCAGGCAAAAGTCCCGCTCACATTGGGACGTCCGCTCGGTTTCTCGATGTAATCCGACTTATATGGTCCTAAATAACACTAATTACTCGGGTACACTTTTTCACCAGTGGGGCACCCCAACTATAAATTATCTCGGCTCCTGATTGTGATACAGACCTCAGGCATGAACCAAAACGTGCCTAAGATGCATGTTTATATTAGTGCTATGAAGATACTTAAGGCCTAAGAGACTTAGTTTTTGAAAAATCGCCAAAAATCCGATTTTACTATATTAGCAGTCTCGCAAGCAACAACGATTTTTGGCGATTTCTCAAAAACTAAGTCTCTTAGGCCTTAAGTATCTTCATAGCACTAATATAAACATGCATCTTAGGCACATTTTGGGTCATGCCTGAGGTCTGTATCACAATCAGAAGCCGAGATAATTTATAGTTGGGGTCGCAATATGGGTGCGGTCAAAAAGGGCGTGATTCCGAGAAATGCCCCACTGGTGAAAAAGTGTACCCGAGTAATTAGTGTTATTTAGGACCATATAAGTCGGATTACATCGAGAAACCGAGCGGACGTCCCAATGTGAGCGGGACTTTTGCCTGGTCCAGGATTAAGGATACACCTGTAAAATCTCTAAAAAGTGTGTATCTAGAGCGAAACGCACAGTTTTGCTAGTACTTTAGTTAAGTTTTTTGGCGCCCCCCTAAGACGGCGCCCCCCCCCCCCCCCCCCCCCCCCCCCCCCCCGCACAGCGGGGTCAGCCACTGCTGCTGTATTGTATTGTACCAGATGCCATCGTGGAGTAGGTGGTCTCCTGCACCTTTTCCACCTCGACATGCAACCTGCAACCCAAAGGTTATTGCAGTCCTTATGGAAGACTATAAGGTCTTCATGCTTCTCTAATTAAATGATACATTAAATGATAACTTGTAAACCCTAGAAGTTTCCAGTATTGTCATGAATCGATTTGCTTACTGAGCTTGGTGTCACTTGGCCATGAGAAAAGCTGGGATTGACCCTCCATCAGGGTTTTCCTTTCATTCAGCTGAGTCAACCAAGGAGACATTACATAAATGCACAACTAGCATAACCGAATTTTCATAATGAAACTATTTAAAGTAAGTTTGGCCATCTGTAATCTTTGATGGAAGACATTGACTGAGCTCATTTTAGTTCCCTACTTCTGTATCGTATTGCAGTCAAATTTTAAAAATTATGGATTAAAATTAAATATTCCTGCCATTAATCGAATAAGTGGTTAATCCAAATAAATTGATTCAAGAGTTCACTGTAACATTGTTATTATCATTAGGATTAAAGTTTTCAAAAATGGCTGGAATGTCTGGTAAAGTATTCCAGAAGTTTATAGAGGTTGCTTCACCTCACATGCCTATACTAAAAGTAAGTATTTCTAATCGCTGTTGACTTGAAACTTTCCTTTACTTGCATACGTTATTTATGATATAATATATATTTAGCAGAATTTACAAGTTTATGATTTCATCGTGTGCAATGTTGTATTGTTTTGAATATCGTATGCAATGTTTGATCTCTAACCATTTTTGAATATTGAAAGTAAGAATATTGCTGCTCACCATAAACTTCTTTCAGGATTCAAAATTCAAAGAAACTGGCGTTTTAACTCCAGTTGAGGTTCGTTAGTTTTTTGAAGCAACCACTTCTGCCTACATTTGAATATCCTACTAGTTGAGTTTGATTTGGAATCATAGTTAGATACATCCATTCTTCATTTCTTATTTTTTTAAAGAATAAAAAAGATTTAAATTTTTAGACTTCACCTGTGATTCATTTATAATTTATTTATTTCAGTTTGTTTTAGCTGGTGATTTCCTGGTGTATCACTGTCCCACATGGCGATGGTAAGTGTGTTTCTTTAACTGTTAAATATTTGTTTCATTGAGAGGCTATAACTCAACCATTTCATGTGAAAACTGGCCCTACTGCTTTTTGACTCTTTCTTACTGAATCGAGTGCTTCTCATTATAAATTTCTTGTAAGAAGTTCTGTAAAAAGCCCTAAGTAGTTATTAGTATTATTCAATTATAATTACATGACAGCCACTCTGATATATTCCGTCTAAATATTAATTTCCGAACATATCAGAGTGATTTTAATTGGTACATGGTCAACAATACCCATTGCAATAGAGTGTTTGCGATAAACTTCCCCGTTGGAATGTTCCGTACGTGTTTCAGAGTGACACATAATCAATAATACAAAGCAACTGACAGCTACAACACGCCACACATCCAATAATACACATGATCATTAATTCTACTGTCTCCAATATGGAGCAACATGGCTATATGAGTATATGAGTTATGACACAGTTCTTTCAGGTCTCACCTTACGTTTTGTCATGCAGGGCCAAGGAATGTAATGTGGTATTTACACTACAAGGAATGCTATTCAATCTTGAGTGGCCCTTCCGGCTTCCAACCGTACCCTGACTAACCTGATACGCTGTCAATAGCTGGCAGCTAAATTAATTGGCCGTGGAGCAGGCAAATTATTTCACTTGATTAATTCTTCTTAAGAGTAAAACTTAGAGATTTGCTCTATATATGCGGGTAAATAATCTGTCTAATCAAATTATATGGCCCAACGATCATGGTAATAACCAAATTCCTCTTAACGTTTTCATGCCCTCTCTGTCTCTAAGATGCTTGACAATATTTTTTTAAATCCTCTGCACTTATCAAATTTGGGTAAAAATGTTTTGAATTACACCTACTTGAACCTTGACATGCTCCCCCGATTCATATGCATACGAATAAAGAGGACATATTCAGTCCGTACCATGAAACCGGAAAATATCATGTATTCATTTGTGGCAAAAAAATGCATAGTAAGTTGTGTAAAGAATCCAGCTCAACCCTGCATGTAAAACCTCTTTCAACTGGCTCTATCATCATCATTAAAATTCCCTCCAATTACTCTTCAACATTTCCTACTACACTCAAACTGTCCTTCATAATATTCCTACCCTTACGTGAGATTCTAGATGTTTCAAACTGAACTCCCTTCTGAACTCCCAGCTGCGACAACGTGAAACATTATACCAGAGCCTGTGAGATAAGAGTAAAAAGTGTTGTGTATCACACTCAGTACTTAAAGTGATAAGTTGATAAATGAAGAGATAAATGAAGAGTGTGATGTAATATGGTGTGTGTGTGTGTGATTTTTCAAGTTTTGTACTAGATGTAACCTTATCAGCTGCGTTATATTTGTAACGGTTGACGGATGAGTGTGAAATTGTGTAATGATCCAAGTATGAACACCTGTTACTGGTTCTGGGGAGGAATTGTTACCATTTAACATGCAACCGGTCATTTTATGGGGCTTAAATATGAGCTGTTATCATTGTGGTGATGTCATGGTGACGTCATAGTTACGTCATAGTGACGATATAGGCGTGGACAAGTTCCGGACTTGTGACTTGCCGGGTTGGAATCAAATTTGCAGATATTGTCCCATTAAAGTGCTATGTTATTAGAAATGAAACAGGTAGCACTAAATGGACATTAGATTATTTGTAACTGGTAGCGTGTTCGTGTCATTGTATCATAGCTTTATTACCTAGAAGGCTATTAGAAACAAAGGTGTTTTTTTTCGTCATCTACAAAATATTTAAGTTATAGTCTCATTCTTCGTATTAGGATTTAAGAAGTCTTCATCACAGACATGGATTTAAACATAGCGATTTAATCGTTGCCACGGACATTACAGAATTAAAGGGGTTGTGGCGAAAAACTATTATGAAATCTTTTATCTCATCAAACTCCTGGGCAGTTAGAAAAACACATTCGGGCAACAACACCAGGAATTATCCACTTCAAAACATTATAATGTTACTTAACTTTCTGTTGATATTTAATTAGTTAATTAGTAGTTAAATTTAATTTTTGTTATATAATGTGTACATTACAGGGAGACTGGGGACGAGAAAATGACAAAAGATTGGCTCCCAAAAGACAAACAGTTCTTATCTACCAGAAACGGTGAGCTCTAGTTCTATAATATAATACCTCAGCTAGACGGTGAGCTCTAGTTCTATAATATAATACCTCAGCTAGACGGTGAGCTCTAGTTCTATAATATAATACCTCAGCTAGACGGTGAGCTCTAGTTCTATAATATAATACCTCAGCTAGACGGTGAGCTCTAGTTCTATAATATAATACCTCAGCTAGACGGTGAGCTCTAGTTCTATAATATAATACCTCAGCTAGACGGTGAGCTCTAGTTCTATAATATAATACCTCAGCTAGACGGTGAGCTCTAGTTCTATAATATAATACCTCAGCTAGACGGTGAGCTCTAGTTCTATAATATAATACCTCAGCTAGACGGTGAGCTCTAGTTCTATAATATAATACCTCAGCTAGACGGTGAGCTCTAGTTCTATAATATAATACCTCAGCTACCTTACAAGACATTTTTGTGGCGGACCAATTTGCGACGACCGAAATTTTGGCGGTCCGAAAATATGGCGAAATTGAACAAAAACCGTCACATTTCGGACGTCACAGAAAATAAGGGTATTTTTCATCCTTTTGTTTTCGACACAAAGGAAATTCAAAATTTTCTAAAAATCGGTAAAATCATGTTGAAACAAAATGAAACTTATAAATCGATTTCTTCATCTTCCTCTAAGGGGTCCGGCTCGACTCTTTCAGTTTCACTTATTGAGTTTGGTATTAAATTGTTTATCTTGACTTAGTCTCTTATAAGACGTTTATGTTAGCACATAAATGTAATTTATTGTAAATTTAAAACGTATTACTTGACATTAAATTCATCATGGAATATTGTGTTTATTTGTCCCACCATCATATAATCACTAACTTTTCAAGAACAAAATGAATCGATGAAGCCACAATTATTGGAATAAGCTAAAAATAATGCGACGGATTCTATTACGACGACCGAAATTTTGGCGGTCCGAAAATATGGCGAAATTTCGGGAAACCGTCGCATTTCGTACGTTATGAAAAAGTCTTGTAAGGTAGACGGTGAGCTCTAGTTCTATAATATAATACCTCAGCTAGACGGTGAGCTCTAGTTCTATAATATAATACCTCAGCTAGACGGTGAGCTCTAGTTCTATAATATAATACCTCAGCTAGACGGTGAGCTCTAGTTCTATAATATAATACCTCAGCTAGACGGTGAGCTCTAGTTCTATAATATAATACCTCAGCTAGACGGTGAGCTCTAGTTCTATAATATAATACCTCAGCTAGACGGTGAGCTCTAGTTCTATAATATAATACCTCAGCTAGACGGTGAGCTCTAGTTCTATAATATAATACCTCAGCTAGACGGTGAGCTCTAGTTCTATAATATAATACCTCAGCTAGACGGTGAGCTCTAGTTCTATAATATAATACCTCAGCTAGACGGCACGTAACCCGTAATCAATTACAAGATGGAGTCTTAGGTCTTGCTAGTTTCTGAGTACATGATGTCGTCGTTCTAATTAGATATATTCTAATTCTATATAATGTAATAATATAACGTATTATGTTCCAATGGTACTAACAATATAACTGAATATTGAATATTGCAAAAGTCAAAACTTTGAAAATTGCTGTGATTCCATAGTATGGCCTCAGGGCTTGGTTTTATGTAATTGTTTGTCACGGTTCACTTGCTTGCTAAATCCTCATGATTTATTCATCAGCATATTTTATTGAATTTGTTGCTACTTGCCGAGGAATCTAGTAATTTCCTATTTACAGCCTACCAAATATGTTCTCACCATAATCACACTTTGCTACTTGCTATGTAACATTAAATTATGATAACGTCACTTTTTAGGATCAATCATTACATGGCCGTTTATTGGAATGTGGTTAGTTCAAACCTTAAAGTGGCGCATTTTCGTGGGTGGTGGTCCTTGAATAACACTGTGCTATTATTCAGCCGAATTTAAAAACGAAATCACGACCTAGTTTCTAAACCGTAAAAGCAATATTGTGGATTCTGGTGAAGCGTTTTTGTTGACACGTGATATCGATTCTGGGGTTTAATTGGTCAATACTGGATTCTGATTGGTCAAGTGCTGTCACGTGATATTTAACATGTTTCAGTGCCGTGTTACCAGCGGTTAAAGCAGATGCAGCATACAGATGAAAATGAGGTGATATTAGATGAAGATGATCCTGAAGGAGGCTGGGTCGATACCCATCATAACTTAGGTAATTATTGTTGTTATTTGCATTTTTCTAGGTTTTTATTTTTACCCGTGATAACATCTTTGTTATTTTTTCTGGAATTTTGTTTTAAAAATTTGTTGGTTGATAAGAGAGTAAACAATCAACAATATTGTCACCTTCAATTCAGTCGTTGTACTAATTTGTTCAGCAGTCAACTAGTAAAGCTGCTAGAGGAAATAATTAACATTCAACATATTCTATGTGGTTAATAAACAATCGCCCGGTAATTCAACTTGGTTTCTCAGTTTTACTTAACAATGTTGTACAGTTATATCAATTAAGTGATTATTACTGCTTTATGTTCTGTAAAATGGCTAAGAACAGTTGTACAATTGTTATTTGTTTTTGGCTTCAAAATCCAAAATCACTGACATAAAACAAAGTAAGTCAAAAATTCTGCAAACTCTACGTTCTTCAATTGCAGTTTTTTGCGAATAGTTGATGGGCTGAAATTATGGTTTTGTCAACTTCGTAAAATTTCAGATACGACAACTGCTAAAATAACTGATTCCATGGATGATATGAACATCGAGGTATGTTTTATGATATGCATTATGTGATGCATATTTAAACTGTAAAATGTAAAATTTAAACTGTAACTTTATCATCTGAGACTCGCCAATTTTGAGGTGTTTTGTTTCACAGTTTTTATCAATATTTTATGTTCTACTCATTGAAAAGTACTAGACAAATCATTGTCTAGTACTTTGGGTTACTGAAAAGGAGATAAGCACCTCATGCCATCCCAACGTTCGGGAGAGACCTGCCCTTGTATTGTATCTTGTATCTTGTAGACAAATCATTGACATGCAACTTACAGTCCCGATTTTCTGCTCCGTTACAAATTACATTGATGCAGGACAAGCCGCGATTGTTAACGGACACACCTGTAGCTGACGAAGATGAGGAAAGCGCAGGGGAAATGACCGATGGTAAGCTTTATTTACATAGTGTATATCCGGTATAATAATAAAATACAAAAGTAATAACGTTTACCACTGTCCACAGAAATTTGAAAACTTGAAGTCAATACATTCTGTTTCCTATTTGAAGTCCCTTCCATGGTATTTCATGGAAGGCGCGAAGTATTATTTTGTGATCTCGCTTCCTACGCGCACGCGCATTATTCTGCATAATGCGCGCTAGCTTGAATATGAAATATATGGATCGGAGCTGAGCTAGCTCTGCTATGGGACTGATCAATATGAGGACCAGGGTCCAGGACCACCGACCAACCAGGGGGCAGTACTATAAATTAAAAAATATAGCCCCTCCTGTAATTTGTTTGCCTAAGGTTTTGCCAGTGCATACTCCATGGCACAATCACACTCCATGAGGGCTGTTATCTGCTCGGACTTCATTCGATATTTGTGTCTGATTTTAGTTTTTTGTCTCTTTGATTTTATTTTTGAGTCAATAATGCTAAACACCATTATAATGAAGACAGTACGTCGAATTTCCAAACAAAATAAGCGTCCAAGTAAAACAGGAGTGCACTGTGCAAATATTCGTAACGTTTTACATATATTCGTTAAAAGTTAGATAGAGACAATAATGCAGTATGACCGCCAAATAGTACTAAATACTAATTAGATTATGTTGTTGCAGTAGAAATATCTCTAACTATGCTTTCTAAGATCGTAATGTCAACTAACCCTGTAGATTCAATAAAAGCCACTTTATATTAAACACAATAAACTACAAAAACTAAAAACAATCCTCGAACTCAACTTGTATTTCTGTTAATCATGCCACGTGCCAATAAAGAGTCCCTCTAAAAGAAACCGCTGCTTCAAAACCGTTCTGTACAAAACATCATGATCGGAGGTGTCAACATCTGCACAGCTCACCCTCTTCAAGTCATCTTCCTGTAGACACACCTCCGAGTGGGTCACCACTTCTGAGATGGACATGGTCACATCGTTCATCAGTGCCACGTTTTCTTTTGCAAAGCTCCCCGCCCCCGCGTAGCACAAGATCGTTGTCATGGTACTCATCACCTGGACTCCACGTTGTTTGTTGGTCATCTGAGGATCCATTTCCAAACAGAACTCTTTCTTTACGTTAAATGTTTCTGTCACCAACCTTTCCACTTGCCTGGTCGTTTTCCAGGCGTCACTCAAGGACATGTTTAAAGGTCGGGATGTCGGAGGACAGCTGCTGCCATCCTTGCTAGCATCATCCCTTTTTAAGAGGGTAATCTGTTGGAACAGATCAGCCACGGAATAGCATTGTAGTATCAGAATAGCGCTGAGTGCTGCGCTGAGAAGGGACGAAGCCATAACAGTTGAGAGTAATACTCAGATATCAGAAAAACGTACGAGAAAAAACTGGTTACAGAAATAACTGAATTATCATGCATACGTGGTATTTATAACCCATTCGTGGTTCAACGTTTCCGGGAAGAGGTGACCGGAGGTCTGGTTTGTCGATTACATCAGATTGGAGGGTCTTTGAGTGTCCGAATGATGGCTACTTGCAAGATGTCTTCTGATTTTAGCAACAACAACAACAACAGATTATAACAGTCTTTGTTTAAATAACTACTTCATAGCTCCCCTAACATTAAATTCCGCTTCTTCAGTGTTAAGAGAAATATATTACTTAAGATTAGATCATTCCTTATTATTAATTAAGGAAATTGGGATATTAGGTTTAGCCACTTTGTGGCATCAATACGGCTAAACGTCATCTCCCAATTTTCCATTAATAATACAATGAATAGAATTACAAATCAAATTCGCGTGATGGCGTCCCATAATACGAAATGTAACTTCCGGTATTTCATGCTCGTGAGTGTCATAGTAACTCTAATATGTCTAAGGGGAAGTATGGTTTTTAACGTTTTTAGGAAGCTTCAATATGATTAGGTGGTTAAATTTTCAAAGTTTCAAGTAGAAAGGTATTTAGTAACATATATAAGCAGTAAAGTTAAACATCTTTACCTCGGAGGTAATCTTACATGCCAAACTTCGTACCAATCAGTTTCTAATTTCAGAGCACCCGAATGTTTAACTGAACAGGTTAAAGAGACGGCAAGGGGCAGGGAGAGTCGGGGGCCGGGGGGGGGGGGGGCCTTGTAGGATTAATTTAAATTTGGAATTTGTTGCCCATTCCAGCACAAAACATAACCCTCAGTATGTTTTGAACTGTTCCGGGTTTACTTAAACTTCTAATATTTAAAATTTGTTGATAACTCAAGTTAATCTCAGATTAAGTATGCATATTTCGGTTTGTATCGTGATAATACCTGCTCGTAAACATTGAGGAGGTTGTCCGATCTCTTCAAATCTTCCTCTTCTACACTCCGCCCTATTTCCCCCAATGTTGACGTAACGTCTCTTACACTTGAGTGTTACATCAGTACCACTGATCACGTGTAATTGCGTCTCCACGTGGGGCCAGTTGTTGTGTCCGGTGTCGGTGCATCCGTCTGATATGATAAGTAGATAAAAGTAAATAATAAGTAAATATAAGTAGATAAAAGTTACATATCGCCACTACGTTATCGTGTAAATTAGTGCTTCTAAAATATTGGAAGACCTAAAAACTAATGGAGTGCAATAAAAATGTGAACATGACATTAACCTGGTTCGGTGGTGATGATAATCCTACAATATTTGAGCCTTTCAGTATTGTTTACCACAAGTCTTACTCTGTTTCCACGCTTACATCCAGAACTCCCCTCAGACGTGTTTTGTGTGCTGTTATGTGTGTAGACTGCGGGGTTACCTGCATCACAGTTTGTGGTATAACTAGTACTACAACTGCATCCCTCTTCTGTGCATGTCCAAAAGTGCTCTTGAATAGGAGCTCTTGATCTTCTTATATTAGGTTCGTTTTCTTTCTGGTACCGTCTCGCTATTCTGCTAATGCAATAAACTCGATTCAGTCTGACTTCAGCCGATGTTAAAAGGCAGTCAAATGAGAGTGGTACTACATCAGATCCACTGGTTCCTGGTGTTTTGATTCAGTAAATGTTCAAAATCCACGGAGGTGATAAAGTCAACAATTGGAATTTGTCATATGTTTCATGTTCAAATAAAACATAAATCTCAATTTCAAGATCACTTAAGGAATTTCTCAATGCCCACGTTCTTTCTCAATTTTGACTCATATCAGAAGTAACATGTAGATTATTATAAGGTGGTTAATGGTTATAACTTACCTTGTGCCGATAACGTTACCAAGATAATTAAGACCAGTCCCAAGATGTGGACTTTTTTCATCGCACTCTTAATATCACATAATCTTCAAATGAATGTTATATTAATGTGTTAACTGTGGCGGTCGGAATATAAAGAGTAAAAAAATACAAAATTGTTCTAACAAAGAATGTTTTGTGTCGTGATGAACAAACCGCTGTCTTCAACGAAAATGAGTTGTTCCAAAAAATTATTTATTATTCACAATGAGATGAGTAGAAAATAGAAAAATAAGTCTAGTCGCTCCTGCCTTATTATTATCTTCAAAAGCAATTTTTTTTGTGCTCCATTTTTTGGTACTCAAAGGACGGTTTTTGGTCAGTTTTTGAATCACATCTAGAAATGTGGTTGGAATGTTTATGATTTCTCCTTATATGGTGCCAATCTTAGTGATGAACCTGCCATTTACATCACAACAAACGTCAAGCGCAACACATTGATTTGAATAAATCTATTTTTGAATCGAGTGATTAAAACTTTAGCTTTGAATGTATTGAACTGAAATAATAAATTTAACCAAATTCCATCTAACAAAAACTTCTCACTCCAGACGAAGAGGATGGCCCGGAGGTTGAGGATAACGACCCAGCAGAATTGCGACCTTCATCCAAACAGACAGACAAACCTACAGAAAGTAATACTGTTAACATGCGGTCCTACGATCTGTATATTACTTATGATAGGTACTATCAGGTGAGAAATGTGTTTTATCACGCGACCAGGTATTGAAGAGATGTGTTGTCCTGAGACCGGGGCTGTTATGTACTAGCTATTTTTGGGTATTTTAAACCCCCTTCACCTCCATAATCACTTCAGGGACGTAGCCAGGATTTTTCTTTGAGGGGGGCTGTCGACGAGCGAAGCGAGCCGACGCGTCCAATCAAGCTGCGCAGCGAGCGAAGCGAGCAAGCTGTGGCAGGGGTCTGGGGGCGCAGCCCCCAGCGGGGTCCAGGGGCGGAGCCCCTTGGCGGGGGTTAGGGGGGCGCAGCCCCCCGGAAATTTTTTGCGAAACAGGGTGTTTTAGACGACATTTGGCATTAAAGAAATTTGTAGGACAGCAATAAACTGGGATTGAAAAGAATCAAGTACTCACGTAAATTTGGAAACTTCACAACAGCAATCTGCATTCTCCAATCAGAATTTACGACTTACTCAGGCCTCATCGTCTTAAGATTTTTACATTTCCTACGGTCTAGGGGACACTATTGACTATAATTATAGAAGTCTTCTAGAATGTTTGCTTGGATTTAATGACATATATTTACTAATCCTAAATCCACAGTTCAAATCTTTGACTGACTGCAGTCATAAACACAGCCCAGTTACCAGGCGACCATGGGGACTAGGGGGCTTATCTTTTTTCTGGGGTTCGATTTTTTCCGGGGGGGGCTGCCGCCTCCCTAGCCCCCCCCCTGGCTACGTGCCTGAATCACTTTAAACAAAGTTATTGTGAAGATATTATATTACCATAAACATTTTCAAACACCATCCTTCCTTTGTTTGCTTTTGTAACTTGTGAGCGATCCCGGCCTCGCGGACTTTCATAATTGAGATGGCTTGTGAAATCCTTTTTTCAATATTATTCTTTTTAATTTTTTGTTGTTATACCTTAGTACACAATATTTATACATCACAATATTTATACGAATTTCGATTTTTCGTATAAAATTTATGTCGTATAAAATTTATGGGTTATAAATTTTGTGTCGTACTATAAATTTTCCATTCTCAAAGAAGAAAAATTCTATATTTATAGTAAAATACAACATTGATGATAGAGTAATAAATTGGAAATTAGTTACTGGACACCGATAAATCGACCATGTTTATATCGTCTTCAGCTTCATCATCACTCTCAGAGTCTGACTCCTTTTCAGGAATGTTGATACTTCTTAGAATATCAGATGAATCGTCCTTCTCGTTACCGAGAGCACTGTATCGTTTCTCGATGCTGCTTTTCAGGAATGAAAGGTATTCTTCATTTGTCCAGGAGGCGGTAACAAGACATCTGACCTCCAAACCTCCTTGAGTCAGAGGTGACCTATAGGCTTTCGTGTCCTTGATTGCCACACTGAACGAACAGCCTCTCGCAAGAGAATAGAAGACAAATCTTGAGATTTCAATTGGCACATGGCCCACACATACAGGTCCCAGATTTGTTTTGAACTTTCCCATAACAGCTACAGCGCAAGGGTCATACTGATTATTCGTCTCCTGAACAAAATAAATCTTATCCGTCTCTGAAGGTGTCCAGTGTTTCTGATAGAAATGGAACCCTCTAATCCCCATTTCAAAACTGAATTCAAAAGACATTCTGACGATAACCAGTAACTACGGACTAGGACAAATAACTGTGAAATTTTGTGTTATTTTTTTACGGATTTTTTTCTGTTCTTTGGGAGATTGATGCAATCGTATAAAATTAATGCCGTATAAAAAATATCCGTACAAAACTCGTGACGTACAAATATTCTGTACTAAGGTATTTGACTTTTTATAAATTTTAAATTCCCAGACCCCGAGAATGTGGTTATTTGGCTACAACGAAACCAGACAGCCTCTCACCATCGAGGAAACTTATGAGGTATTAATTCGTGCAATTTTGCATATTTCTTAAACATTAAAAGACTGGAACGTGATGTAAAGTATTTGAAGAAAGCTCCAAAAAGAATATGTATCTTTTGCTTCTATGTCTGTATTAATAAAAGTCAAATGTACTAATTAGTACATATGTTCGATTTTAATAATGATTACAATTTAAGGACATCTCCTCCGATCACGTGAAGAAGACGGTAACACAAGAAAACCACCCTCATTTCGCGGGTCCCGGAATGTTATCCATACATCCTTGCAAGTATGTATTACGGAGCAACGTGTAACTTTCAACTTATTTTATTTCTTAAATTATAAAATTTTGCAACACGAATGAATATTCAATAGTTTATTCAAGTTAGTAGTCAGTGTTTCTGAATACCGGAGGCTGCTGGTTGAACCGATAGATTGATTTTGTAGACGGTTATATTTCAAAACGTACAGGCACGCAGAGGTGATAAAACGTATCATCGAGCAAACAGCTCAAGGAGGCAGAAGCGAAGTTCAGGTAGGTTACTGGTTAGGTTTTCTTTTTTCGGGTTCAAAGAGTTTCCCAAATAAAGCTCCTCCACATTTACAGTTCATAGATTTAGCTACGGAAAAGTACAATCTCTTTCAATTCGAGAGGTAGGGACAAATAACTACCTCTTTTCTCCAGATAAGACAAATAATTTAACCTCTTCTTTTCTCCAGGTGGACATGTATCTGCTAATATTCCTAAAGTTCGTGCAGTCGGTCCTGCCCACCATCGAGTACGATTACACTCAGCAGTTCACGATGCATGGTTAATGACATCACATCACGGTCAATGACGTCACATCTTCTCCTAATGACGTCACATCTTCTCCTAATGACGTCATGCTACTCGTCTGTTCCGCGCACAACTTCTTATCATCCCACCAATTTCACGATGTTGAACGTTTAGGAAAAATGTTTTTTTCTTTCTTGATAATTTAGGTGTTTTAAAGGCGACTTTTTGCATGGATTAATGATGTTGGTTTCTAAGTGCGGTTGCATTTTTAGGTTTGTGTTTTAAGTTGTCGCTCATATTTTTGGGTCAGGGTTCATAGGTGGTTGTTTGGAAAACTTTCCTGTTCTGATTATAGCAGATATGGATTTTGGCCTATTTGTACTGTACATTAATTTCACTGAAAAATGTTTATTGCTTTAGAAAAACTAAAAAAACCATGCTGAACTGGCACATTGTTTCGGATTCTAGCCTGTATCAATAATTATGCAACGACATACAGTTTCCAACGTTTTCCAAACAGCCCGGCAGTTTTTCCTGAAATTAGGGTTTAGCTGTTATCACCAGTATACAATATATTTGCACGCTATCTGAGCAGTAAGAGAATACTATACACGTCCGTCTTTCCTACGCTTTTTTGAACTTTTATATTAAAAATCGTTTGTGATGAAGTTCCGATAATAATGATAAGACGAAATGATTCTTGTGATTGATAAAAAGTTTTTTACAAAACATAGGTTGGCTTTTTTGTTGTTGTTGAAGTGCTGTTGATTCCATTTCGTGCAACTGTAAAGCATTTACTTGATTTTGATCAATATCTTGATACGGTCATAACTTATGATACGTATCATGCAATGATCGTAACTTATGATGCGTCATTTAAAATTATGTGTATCTGTCGGCTCAGATTTTGTTATGTTTTGATTTTGGATATTTCATTCGTTAAAAGTTGTTTTTTTCATTTTTATGTCTTATAACACAATATGTTTTATAGATGGCTTTAAAAATGTAGGTCGCCAGATTTACAGAGAGGTTGTAGGTTTCGAAAATTCGCTAAGTGCTTTGGATGAACAATGAAGGGAAGCAAGATAAAACACGTCCCTTTATATCTTTACGCTAAAATTTACTGTACAAGTCATTCTATATACAATCACAAATAATATTATCTGAGCTACAAACTAGGACAGACCTGACATTTCCAATAATTTTCCTAACAACTTTCTCAATTCTCATAATCTGATCTCAATTTGGCAACTCTGAAACAATAACTGATATTTAATTTAAATAGCTGATAATTATCTTTAAAACTAAAAGTTTGTAGCAACATAAAACATCTAATGTAAACAAGATCTACTGAAAGAATCACAAATATCTGACAAAGTCTATTTATAAACATGGTTACAGGTAATACTGGTCACTGGTGAAGCTTTTTCTTAGTAAAATCTCTGAAGGAAACTAAAATATCAGTACTCTGCATGAGTATGTAGCTCAACAACACTACAACAGTTAAGGAATATGACGAGGGATGGGAATGTGCCATGTGGGTTGTGGAATGTGGGGGTGGAATGTGAGCAGGGATGTGGAACTAATGTAGTCCACGGAATGCTCCAGGGTGTCTGATACCATCACTCACAGTCTCCAGCTCGTCCAGTTTGTTTCTTGCGGTTCTTAGAGATCCATCTTGCAGCCTGGAAACACAAAAGTTATTGCAAGGGGAATAGCTCTATAATTTTAGATTTTCTGAAACAACATTCATCAAAACAAATGATGGACCCACTCATAAGAGCGAATAAAAAATAAAAAAGATTATCATTTCTGAAACAATATTGAATATTCACTGTGTATCCATCTTATCCCAGGTTTTGGAAAAAACCTTAGCGATCAGGCTGCTTAAAATGAAACTAATAAGTTACGAGTGTTGTGATATGATACCTTGGGGCACCGTTCCCTGGTCTGCCGAAGATATCAGAGCTCTTGATGTGTTGATAGTCCTGGTCTAGGGACTGTCTCCTCTCCCTCTCTTTCACAACCTGCTTCTCTGATATCTGACTTTTTAGGTCCTCAAGGTAATTTCCTTTAGTTCGTAACACCTGTTAAATTATAGATAAATGATAAAGCTATGCAGTTCGGGGTAGGAAGTATAAAATACACAGCAAAACACGTTATTTTCAAATTCATTTTATCTCAGGAGATATTAAATTGTTACTTTACCGCCGAGTAGACTGTCCCAATTGGTTTGTCTTTTTCATATCCGTTTGTGGTAGCTACAGCACTTGATTCTAAAACGGTGAAATTGTTGACTTTATGTAAAGTTTTCTTTGCTACACGTTGTATACCTCTCGTGCGGCTTCGCGCGCGCTCAAAAGGGGTTACAGCGTGTGTCAAAGTTCTCTTGATAAGAACGATATAAATTTAAGGCAAATTTAAGAAGTAAAGATAATGTTTACATTAGACTTAGTAAAGTGTATTAACTAATACACCCTACGCGCGTGGGGTGGACTCCTGGGGTGGACTTTTATTCAGCGCGTATTTTGTAGCCTGTTCAACTTGACGTTTTGATTCGTTACTATCTCAATGTCACAGATACACAGAATGTGAGGTGATCATCTTAAAAAGAAACGTCTCAGCTTTCACCTGGTGTAAAGTTTATCTTTGTACTCAAAATATAGCTCGCTCAGTGTGCAATAGAAGTTGACAATACAATAACCACGTCTGCGACCGGTCGTCAGGTACCGGAGTGTTGCACAAAATTGGGTCCCTAAATTAAAATTCTATGACACAGTTACCATGCAGAAATGTCTAGGGAAACATTTGGTGAAAGTTTCAACTCTCTACTATAAAAATAGCGATAGTTATTGAAGATAAACCGTGAGAAACTCCCTCTTGTCGAGATCAACGCTCTAGGAAACTCCCTTCTGTACGGTGTACCACGTGACAACGATTTGAGCGTCACGTGGCCGTCACGTGACAAAAGTGCGCGCATCGGATGGAGCAGTCTCGTGGGAAATCCTGATTGCCTGATCGATCTCGTGGGAAATCCTGATTGCTACGGAAAGGGCTGACAACCACAGTTATTTCCCTTCCTCAATTTTCCAGTTCACTTGCTCAGTGCTGTCAGTTGTTTTTTGTTTGCCCTGCTATATAAACTTCACTCCGTCATAATCCCCTACTCCCCTATCCAATGAACTGTTTCTGTTACAGCTGCCATTCTGTTGACTGGACCCTAACTTAGTCTTATCATTTTCACTTGATAACTTTATCCGTGTGCACTTTCTCGAAACTCAACTTATCTTTGTCAAGACTCAGCTAATCTCAGAACTAAATGTTGCCTTAACAGACTTACTTGTCACTGCACTGGGCCCTCCTTTAAATGCAAATATCATATGAGCAGCTGATCGATTTATTGCTTGAACTGTGCATCCTTTTTAAAAATAAATAAGGTCAATTTTACTATCGTGAAACTTAGTCACTGAAGACAACGCAATCTGGCTGTGCCGGTTCCCCTCTGCCTAGATCACTTAGAATATCCATAGTTAGCAATACTTTTATCGTTTAATGCAGCGATATAGCCAGTTATCAATGCTACATAGTAGATTTTAGCCTGTTCCAATCATCCTTATATCGCGTTAATGGAATTTATGAAATTGCCAACCGTTCAAATCGCTCTCTGTTGTTAGCACCACACTGATTAACTACGATGTTCCAATTTTTTAGAATTATGTCCGACATAATTCTAATTTTTGCTGTTACAGCAGATAGTTATGGTGTAATGGCACGCAGGAATAAGTCATCCCTGTCCTCCAAAAAGCCCATGAAAAGGTATTTGGTAAGCTATGTCTTTTCCAATATCAAATCCAATGTATCACAATCTGTGGACTTTCTACTCAAAAACTAGATTGATTAATTGATAATTCATTGCTGATTGTTCACGCGCCCTGTATGGAAGTATATAAATGGTAATCCGCATACTCCAGGAAGAATTGAAGCAATCTCAAAAGAAAAGAAGGGAATCTGGATCCTTCGTCGGATCGTCAAAGAGCTTAGAGGGGAGCTCTACGCTTCACTGGCCATGCAAAGCAGGGAGAGTGACGGAGGCGGAGGCACTGCTGGCTGCTGGAACGGACATTAACAAGCTGGACAGAACGCAGTTTAACCCTTTCATGGACGCGATCAACTCAGGTAAATCATTCGACCGCCTTAACAATATGGGTTTATTGGTAATAGTAGCAAGAGGTTTTAGTCATGCGTTTGATTACAGCACAGTGTGAAACCCTGAAGCATACGTCGAGCTCTAAACTCTGTTTTGTCTAATAATCAATTATTTGAATATTGAAGGATTAAATTTGGTAACTTGATGATCACACAATTAACAGGACAGGTCGACTGTGCTAGATGGCTGCTGAGGCAAGACGGTTTAAAGCTTCAGACCGAGATATGGTCGTTTTGTAGGGAGAGGGTGCTAGAGTCATTGCTAACAGCTTAACAGAAGGTAAAATCCTGAACTTTTGTTCATTGATTAAAAATCACCATTCAGACATACAATCGTTCAGATGTAAAAATTATTTATTCACTATTTTGGATTACATTTAGTTACAGGACTAACGTGCGACATCCGTCGTTGACCTTTGTCTTTAATTCAACAAGGTAGGGAGAGCGATCCATGGCTGTCCCGATAGACCCACTCAGACTCCTGCCGGAAGATACTCCTCCGGTTGATCCAGATGAGACAGTTCTAGCAGATGATCAGTTACAGACTGAAGAACATATCCCGCAGATCAATGCGTCAACATCTGCAAATGAAGGTACTTCAATCTGCTCTTCTTGTATATGTCTTTGTGCCTGCGTCTGTGATTGTACTGAAGTGTACTCTGTGTGTTTGTGTCTGTGTCTGTCTTTGTATCATGTGTGTGTCTCTGATTGTACTGCGTGTGTCTGTAATTGTAATGTAGTGCACTGAAGTGAACTATGTGTGTTTATGTGTGTGTGTCTGTGTGTGTCTGTGTGTGTCTGTGTGTACTGTGTCTGTCTGTGTGTCCGTCTGTGTCTGTGTGTGTCTGTGTTTATGCCTGTGTCTGTGTGTCTATGTCTGTATGTGTTTGTGGGTGTGTGTCTGTGTGTCCTTGTCTGTGTGTATCTGTGTCTGTCTGTGTGTCTGTCTGTGTGTCCGTCTGTGTCTGTGTTTATGCCTGTATGCCTGTATGTCTGTGTCTCTGTGTGTGTGTGTCTATGTCTGTATGTGTTTGTGGGTGTGTGTATCTGTCTGTGTGTGTGTGTGTGTGTGTGTGTGTGTGTGTGTGTGTGTGTGTGTGTGTGTGTGTGTGTGTGTGTGTGTGTGTGTGTGTGTGTGTGTGTGTGTGTGTGTGTGTGTGTGTGTGTGTGTGTGTGTGTGTGTGTGTGTGTGTGTGTGTGTGTGTGTGTGTGTGTGTGTGTGTGTGTGTGTGTGTGTGTGTGTTCTTTCATAGAAGTTGTTATTTCCAAGATACGAAGTTCGAAAAGCTAGCATTTAGTAATAGACGAATTTTGCAGCTGATATCAGAATCGACATGATGATGGTACTACACGAGATGCTCATGGAAAAGGTCTCCGTTTGCTTTCCTCCTCCCACGAGCAGTACAAAGTGTGGGTTCAACTTTAATCTGATAGAAGATATCGTATGCGGAACCCAAGCCCGGCCATGTCTGTACATAATAACGAAAGAAACCGGTAAGTTTCTAATCATGTAAATGTTCGGCCGAACGTTTGCATTCATTTTAGACTAGTGACGAAAATCAACAATCGTTTGCCAGTTTGGTTTGCAAAATCGACAAAAAATAGTCCATTCCCCATGGCCATGATATTAGAATTCTGCCCGTTGAAATCGGCCACTCTGATTTTTATCATTGAACTTCACATTGATGACATGTTCATTCTCTACAGGTTATGCTGCGAGGGCGTTTACCTCGATAGATGTTGAAAATGCCCACAGCATTATAAATCATTTGGACCGCCGAGGGGTCCAAAACTCCTCAATCGAAGAGCTTAGTAGACATGCCAGCAACCTACAGAGACTTCAAATTCTCAGGAAACCTCTCTAGGACGGTAATACATTAACTTGTTTAGTTAATAAATTTAATAAGTAGATTTTGAGTGATGATTACTGAATACAGATATCGAGCCTCGAGGTACCATAAAAAGGGTATATAAACTTATCACTTATGCTTATATGCTTATACTATCAATGAATATCAAATCGCCTTCTCTAGTTATCAAACCCAACATAAGTTAAATCTCTGCCTACAAGGACTATTTGATATTTACAACAGACCGAGTGAATGTCTCAATCTTTTCAGGAAGCTTTATACTCCGACATCCACAATTTACTACGCCCCTGAGATCGACAAAGGTCTTTCTGATAGATTGACTTCCAGCCAATTCGATCTATCGAAGCCGAGTGGGAAGAACAAAGAACTGAAACCCCATGGTCGCAACGATGCTCCTCGCGGACAAGGGAGAGTTAGGGCCATCGGTGGTCACAAGACTGGATAATATTTATTTTTTAAGCGTTGAGGTTGTCACGAAAGCGTACTGTAACGGGACTATCAGATTTGAGTGATTTGATTTTGTGATTTGCAGTTCACGTGATTTTATTGTGATTTTAGACTGTAAAAACTATAAAGGTTCAAGTTGAACTATCGTCGCCATGATTATGTATTTTGGAACTGTTCACGTTGAAATTGCTTCGTTAATCAGCAGTCTTCCTTGGTTACTTTCTACTGTGTAATGCAGCTACGATCAACGATACTTAGCTAGTACATTCATAGTAACACTAACTGCACTGAGAAGAGTAAAAAATTTGAGCTTTGACGGAATAACATTTCCTTGTTTTTAGATACGGTTACTACTCTAGTGAGGGGTTCATAGCTGATCATTAAGGTCTTACTCACAATAATTTGTGCTCTGATATTGGCCGTACTGACGGCTGTTGAAAAAGCCACTCCGTCAGATGCGCGCCGCAAGAGTCCACCCCTGTAGACCCCACTACGTACAAAATTTGAAATTTTCCCAAAAACTTCTGATTAAGCTAGTTTGTTTTCAATAACTTTTGCAATATTTACAGTATATATATATATTACAGTAGACCCTTCAAATTTTCACCAAATGTTACTCCAGACATTTCTGCATGGTAACTGTGTCATAGAATTTTAATTTAGGGACCCAATTTTGTGCAACACTCCGGTACCTGACGACCGGTCGCAGACGTGGTTATTGTATTGTCAACTTCTATTGCACACTGAGCGAGCTATATTTTGAGTACAAAGATAAACTTTACACCAGGTGAAAGCTGAGACGTTTCTCTTTAAGATGATCACCTCACATTCTGTGTATCTGTGACATTGAGATAGTAACGAATCAAAACGTCAAGTTGAACAGGCTACAAAATACGCGCTGAATAAAAGTCCACCCCAGGAGTCCACTGCACCCCACGCGCGTAGGGTGTAACAGGTAAAGCATATTAATTATGCACGAACGCAGCGCGCGTTATAATTTCTTGATGTCAAGGTAAATGCTTACAGATGCGTTTAATACTGTAATAAAATGTTCGCGCGTTCCACATTTTCCCTAAAACAGCATCGTGAAATTTAGCGGGTTGTTCGGCTGTTTGCTCTATAGATTAACTGTTCGACTTCGATGATTAATTGTTATGTTAAGCAAACGGAAAGAAATCATTTTGAAGTAACTTACGCTTGTCAGGGTCGATGTAATATCCGTTCTCAATCGAATGCTGAAATAATCAAAAATAAGCCAATCAATCTTTGGTAAAACTCATCGATTTTAAAAATCATCCCAAATCCAATCTGAGACACATAAATCAAGCATCTCCACTGCTAATAACAAAATCTAACGCTAAAACAAAATAATACCAAGTAACCAAGTATCCAAAGAAATTGAACAGAAATGAAGTGCAGTGTACTACTGATACAATAATTGTATACGGACATTAGGTGCCGCTGTGGGAGGTCCACTAAGCTAACTACTCGATATCATTATGATACAATATTGGCTTGATAAGTTCATACCGAAAGTAATGATGTATAAAACAACATAGGAATTACATTTTGTTAAACTTCTTATCATATATTCTGTTGTTACATATCTGTGTTTGTTTAGTGGAATAAGGAAGGGGTTCGTATGAGTTATTCAATATTTTAACGTGTACGGAATGACAATATAATTAAGAGGAACAGTAGTGTTTAAAATCATATAGTCGCAGAACTTGAAAAAACTAAAATTTCGGTCGTTTGAGATTCAGTCAAAAAACGCAACATAGCTTCAGTGAACTAACTTATGAATTTCATCATATAAAATTCAGTTGTGTTACCTAAGAACGTCCGGCTTCGTTCAGTATTACATCAAAGCTAAAGGTTTGGCGGAGAGAGAGAGATACTGGCGTCAGTAAAATATATGATTTCTGAGTCTTAAAATGCTTATTGCTTAAGATGCTTCAATATAAGTACAAATGAAATAGGGCAGCATTCGGCCCAATAAGCATAGGATCCTAAGTCACAGGTGTTCAGGTGCAGTATACATGTACCACGCTGTTATATGGTAAATAACATAATGTACATTATTACATACGAACAATGTTTGATATCTCGATAAGCTAAGTATCAACTGTTTAGAGTCCAATTTATTCTGGATCATAGATGGTGTTCTGCCGTATAATACATATTATACCTTGTTATTACTAATTACTAATTAATTAAGTACCCCCGCTCTGTCTGCAACAGAAAGAGGACAAGAAACCAGACTATACTAGGATAAGAGAGCTTGAGGTTATTATTCTTTATAACAATTATTGTTTAGAATATTCAATAATGCCTTATGTATATTATAATTGTTTGATAAGGACGTTTATTAACGAAGTGTTTGCATTATATTAGCCAAGTTGAGATTTTTCATACTGTCTCTAGGAACATTAAAAGTTATAGCCCTAACAGTGCTACTCTACTTTTCAGCACATATATTTACTTCCTGTTTATACATTAACTTGAATATTTCAATCTAGATTTGAAGATTGCATTTCTATTCCGGCTATTTGAGCTTGTGCAGCTATGATTTTAAAGTCATCAACTGTTCTCATTACAATGATGTGTACCTTGACCTCTTGACTGTGCCCGAGGTACAGCAAATAAGCAAATTTGCTGTAAAGTCGTGATAGCAATCCAAACATGTACATCAAATTAATCGAAGAATTTACCATGATGGTTGGTTACTACACTTGCACTCTACATATTGGATGATTTTCCGTACAAGTCTTTATTTCAGAGGCACATTTCAGTTTGGTTGACACAGCAGGAAAGCCAAGCCCGGAATTGTACAAGGACAAAATACGTTACTTCTTTTTAATAGTGAGACAGTTTGTAGTAATCATTTCACTGGCAATTCAGCAAAAGCAGTATGTAAACGAATTGTCTAACAATTCCATTATTCAGTAAACTTCAGTCTTCAACCTAGTTGACGTCACGGGAAACCTCACACAAAAAGAGGAAAGTATGCTTTCTCCAAGCGTATGATAGAACAGTCTGTTGTCATGGTTTCAACCATAACCCCTGTTTATGATCACGTACATGACATTGAACTTTGTGTGTAACCTTGATAAAGTCCAATGCGTGACGAAAATTTGGTTTTACAGTTTACTTAGTTCCTTGTTTCACTTTGTTCGCAGTTTTATTTCGGGAGACGTGAAGTCTAAAATGAAAGCTAAAAACCTTCTTTAAACATCCACGCTAGTTTGTCAATAATTTTCCAATTCCAGTGCCATTGAAAAGTGGACGCTAGGTATTAGTCAAGGACTCAAGAGTTTTTACTTTGACTTAAGAAGGGCCTGCAGCAGTATGACACTACTGCACTATTGCACTACTGCACTACTGCACTACTGCACTACTGTACTACTGCACTACTGCACTACTGCACTACTGCACTACTGCACTAATGCACTACTGTACTACTGCACTACTGCACTACTGCACTACTGCACTACTGCACTACTGCACTACTGCACTACTGCACTACTGCACTACTTCACTACTGCACTACTGCACTACTGCACTACTGCACTACTGCACTACTGCACTACTGCACTACTTCACTACTGCACTACTGCACTACTGCACTACTGCACTACTGCACTACTGCACTACTGCACTACTGCACTACTTCACTACTGCACTACTGCACTACTGCACTACTGCACTACTGCACTACTGCACTACTGCACTACTGCACTACTGCACTACTTCACTACTGCACTACTGCACTACTGCACTACTGCACTACTGCACTACTGCACTACTGCACTACTGCACTACTGCACTAATGTGGAATATTTCACGGTTTAACCGGGGATGAGTGGGTAGAAAGTCATTGCTTCGTACATGAGCTCGAGATAGACCTGAATAATAATCAACAAATCAGATTTCTGATAGCATCAACCCAAACCATCCCTCCGCGCCATTACCAAAAAGCAATGTATAAGTAATGTAAAAGTAATTTGTTAGGTGGCACTCCGAGGACCTGGCGAACACTAATTTTATTACAATGTCTACTCTCTTTGAAGTAAAATTGATATTTACACGGTTGTTAGAGTAATAAACATTAAACAAGGTAATCAACATGTGAGCAATAAACATGAAAGAAAAGCGCTAGGATTCGGCCTTTAATTTTATGATTTCCATCGCCTTGTTATTAAATGTTTGTCCCAGTTTTTTAAGAAATCATATCAACTTCACGCCTCGTTAAAGCAGTGAATTGCTCGTTCTTTCCTGATTGTTCAGCTGCTCATGAAGTCTGGGCTGTTTGCTGGTTTAAATATCACAAATCACGATCGATCGACCAAACCCAAAGTTGGAAGTGTGAGTTTTTAAAAAAGTTTTACCCCACGAAATGTATCTATAATCGGTCAATCACAATTTTGTTCCGCAATATTATCACGGAATCTCACCCTGCTATCTAGAAATTGTCATTATCACTACAATATCCGCGGTACTGAAAAGTGTCTTGCACACTTAGCTCGGCAGTAACACTCCTACAATTCCCGTATATCGGAAGCACACAATTGTTGCCATGACAACGGTAAGCAATTAACAGACACACCGACCATGGCAACCAAGCAAAACATAACCAACAACACTGTACTCAGGGAGGCACTGCACTTAAAGGTATGACCACTGCTTACGTTATCATTATAATTACATAATTACTTGACAACTACTTAATTATTTGGCCATTTCGCTCAGTTAGAAGTTTAAAAAACATCCTGTCTACTATTTGGACGTTATGTGATAACACTTATTTCTATTAAGTGGAGTATGATCTGTGGTTGTTTAAAAGATTATTAACAGTTAATAACTGGGAGATTAATATATCAGATCTAGGAGTAGGGACATTCAGTACCAAAATCATTAGGTTCACTGCTTGCAACACCAATTAGCACTAATTGCAACACTAATAGCATATAAAATATAGAGTAAGGAAGATGGATTACTGAGGGTACATGTGTAAGGTGATATGAATGGATCCCAATATTCTTCTCTTGTATGATAGCGTCTTTTATAATTATATGTAATGTAATGAGTAGTAATATAATAGCTTCTTTTTGTAATCTTTCCTTACAATAATAATAACGGGGGTGTAGACTAAAGTTATTGGTTACTAACATTAGAGAACTAGTTTACTAGAAACCAGCTTTGTAAACTGTTATACAATTCATAAAACAGCCCTGATGATAGTGATATCAGTTATAGCTGTTCTATTGTTAAATAATGATTATCTATTAACTATCCTAGCGTTTAAACTGACAACAAAACTTTGTTAGCTTAAAAGAAACTTAGTAAAATTAATAACAATACCTTGTTAAAGTGAGGAGGTTGGGCTGGGTGCCGTTTCCAGGCTCGTTCCTTTGCTTCATGTTCTATATCCACTGGAAATACCTGAAACACAACATGTGGCTCAGAAATAACAAAGTAATTACTTAATTACTTAATAACTGCATCATCATGTCATAACAAAATCGTAAATCGATATTGTTTATAGTACACTCCGATGTAGATATATAATGTAGCAGTCGCATGTATTAGTATTTATGTAGCACTATAAAGCAATCCTCCACTGACTGTCTCTAGTATGATAACACAGCCCGGGGACAAAAGAAGCTATATTGATAAGTTTAAATCGTAGTATTACAATCAGCCTTGCACATAGAGTGAGCCACAAGGTAAAACCTGGAGGGAACCCTTTCAAGACAGCCCCTCCCCCGGCCCCTCCCCCGGCCCTTCCGATCCCCCCTCCTAATTTAACGCCCAACCTTATTTTCCATATTATTAAATCAACCTTAGGAACTATAGGAGCTCACATTGCATATGGACCTTATATTATGTACAGATAGGATAAGTTGCGCTCAGTAATAACATGTAATTCATTAATCGGAGGAACAGGCACATCAGGATTCATTAACCATTGGATGCCTTGACTCAGGGAATCATGACCTCGCACATGGTTAGGAGGTTTTTCCGGGTTGTAAGTACCACGCCTCCGATTTTCTTAAAATTCATTGAGATTATATATTATAATATACTGATCGCGGCGCTGTTACAATCCCAAGTAGCTGCACAGAATGAGGTACCTCCGTCCTCCATCTATACATGTTATGGGTCGTACCCTCCTGGCCTTTTAAATGGTACTTGAAATGTGGACGTCAGAAAACCAAATAATATCCGGAGATAAGAAAAAAAAGAAGGAGCATGCTAAATTAGATTTAATTATCTTCTCATTCCGATGTCCACGCAATTCCCCAATCTCTTATCACAATCCACAAACCACGCGCTCCATCCCATCACATGATCTTACACTTGGATGAGCGCTTAATTTTCACACGTCACAGTAAAAGATAATAATAAGTCACTCTGCAAACTTGAGCCCTTCATTTGTTCATTAACTCATTATACAGACCCATTTTTATATACGTATATTCAACAATCAACCCTTCAGCTACTTCAATATCTTCAGATGGACTGTCAATTTCGTTTATCCTGATTGGAGCCCTGCAGATTATAAATCACAGACAGGACGTGTTGGTATGTAATTGGTTGGTATGTCGGTATGTAATTTATTGTCATGGAGACGTAATTATATGACAGTTAGAGCGTAAAGCATGCAGGGATAAGCATGATGGAGGAAGGTGTAGGGAGGCACAGCAACTTGACGTGTCTGGACTCTGGGTTATACTAATGTTATTTTGTGTACTGATAATTATAGAATATATAGAATATAGATCAAGGATTAGAGTCTAACCAAAGATTAGAGCTAGAGTATGACATTTTTGGTGGAGACTGAAGAGAGATTAAAAGGAAGGTGTGGAACTGGAGTAGAGAGGTAGTTCGAGTGGACGTGTACTGATAATTATAGATTAAGAATCGTAAACGGGTGTTGGATGTTCTGTTTGGAATTAACTTGGGATCGTGTAGATTTATTTGAGCGTATGACAATTTGTAGTTATAATATCTTAATTCTAACGCCACAGACCGCCAACAGTATTTAAGAGGAAGACTTTCTAACCTGTCATAATAATTGTAGTTTTCTTCAACTCACTACAAAAAGATTATTAAAAGTCACCTAAATAAAGGGTACAAAATGTTAATAAAATTATCATGATCATGATCAGTTAATGAGACTCTAAGTTTTAACAATGATACGACTAGTGACTATTTCCTACGATCGTCTAGTCTGACTTTCGATGCAGGAGACAAGAATAAGAGATATCATTAAATTCCTTAATCATTCCTAGCCCTGTTAACGTCACAAACACAATGTGTGCAGATCAAATATAATTAATCTACTAAGACATATATCTGTCATATTTTAATCGGTATAATATAGTCTCTGATAAAAATCATAATCAAATTTAAACAATCAGATAATTGAATACCATAACTTCATTAAATAATATTCTGCACTGCAACATTCAGGGCTAAGTTTATCATCAGTATTATAATGTGAAAGATACCGCATTACAGCCGTAAATTACGAGAGTTTATGAAGATTAAACACTGTAGCTATAGGGGCTAGGGGCTGTGGATTGTGGAATGCAGGTTCCTGAGAATCATAGTACCAAATATCGTAATCATGATTTGTCAATTTTAGTCTCCCGATAAAACTTGCGAACCTTAAAAGTAGTATACCGCAAAACTCGACACTGATCTACATCGTTGAATATTCTGGATTATCTCAAATCACACTGTATCGTCCGTCAAATGTTACCAGAATTTAATGGTCGAAACCTTCTGCTTTTATCTATATATCCATCCCAAACCACAGATTTTATGACACAAACTATTTATCTTACTGCTTAAAGTGAGAAATGTTTGATAACGTGCTATGATATAAATTATAATGGACATTCTCGCCATATTAAATACATCACAACGGACACTAAATTGACCAGCATGCAAGATGTAATGGCATTATTAGGAACAACATTCGAAGCGTCTATATCGAGAGGACAGAGCGCCGATAATTTGAAATATTTGGAAAATGTTTGACACCGAATATTTGAGGTGGGTGTGGTTTACTACAAACCGAATACCGATATGAGATGTTTCACAATTTGTTTGGTAAGACAGACCGTGAACCGACGTGTGATCTAACATGGATTATCTCAGTCATACTTTCTTTATATTAAATCATGTGATTATGATGCATACGGAATGATAAACGCTTATCATTAAAAAGAGGGAAAATTTGAGTTTGGATTAAGCCTAGACAAGCAAGATTTGGAGAGGATAAATCGATGACAAGGACTAGTGCTATTGAGAAGGAGATGTCTTGATGTGGTGATAAAGGTAAATGATGTTATGATGTCTTCTAAAAGTAGTCAGCGAGATATATTAAATTGTATCCGTATTATCTCAACTCATCTCTACTCATCTTAAAGAACAGCACGGATCCTCCTAGCAAAATGCTGATTTAAGATGAGCGTTTGACAAATCTAAAATAAAGTTTCCCTGATAAAAACTCCAAATACTCATACTTAAAACAAGTCAAGTGAGCAACGAGTATAAAGTAACCTTAAATTTATTTTGATCAAGTAGAATTCTTCATTCCAACATGAAATCCCCCGTTCAACCTACACTAACCTGGTTAACAGGAGATTTGTTCTGGCCCGGCCTGAAGGGGTCGTCGAAGTTTCGGGGCATACCACGAGGTTGGGAATAAACTTGACCACTCTCGGTACGTACAGCTACCCCCGGTCCTGGCTTGCCTAGCATCTCAACTAAACCCTGTAAGTAATTGGTGAAGCTGTAAATATAAGCGAATTAGTTAGCTTCGTGAAGTTTGTCAGCCTGTGAACATTTTTTTTTCTTCCAGCCTTCAGGCATTTATTGTTGACAAAATCAACAAAACGTTAAACACTGATAACAGATTTTTATCAAAACGAAACTCTATAAGAATTCTATCCATTATTGATTGAACGTTAATGTGGCTCTTGCTATGTGTTGGTTCAGCCGAATTAATTATTATGTAATCAAGTTTATTTTTCTCTTTTAGTTAGTTGTCATCCGGCCAAACATTAAGCAACTTATATTGCAGTTCCATTTATCAATTAGTATATCAAAATATGTCATTGTAATTTTGCATGGCTGAAATGTAACGCTTGATTTATATATATAATAATTAATTGAATTTTCAAATAAAAAAAAAATTTACCCTATCTCCAATGTCATCATAGTACTCTCTGATCCCATCTGCTCCCCTCATCGGCAGTGGTTCAGATCTCATTATCTTACCAGAACTGTTTCGTTGTATGAACCCCACTTTACCGTGCAACCAATCTGCATCCTGTGTGTTTCCCTGATAACGTGACTGTTGTTTAAGATATATCAGAAAGCTGACTACTAACCAATCAACATAAGAGTTGAAAATCGTCAAAAATTCTTGCCCCTTAATTTAAAAAACTGTCCTGAAAGTTGAAACTATGACACTCACATCATCTTTCTCGATCTGCATGGAAGCCCGCTTTTCGTCCACTTGTTTGCTCAAACGCTCTTTCAAGTTGTTCTTTACATTTTCACTTGTCTTCTCTCTACCTCCAAGCAGCTGGGCTTTATGGAATCTCGGCTCATCATCTACAAATATCAACGTTTTTAAAAGGTAATTGAACGCTGTTCAGGTATTAAAAGCCTCATAATCCTAGACAAAATTGGGAAACATGTAAAACCTTAACAAGTTTAAAATGGATTTAAAATTGGTTTAAGATGGGTTTAAAATAAGTTGTATGGTGTACAAATAACAATGAACAGAATAACTCACGATCACATGGAGGGGGGACAGCAACACCATTAACAACATTCTTCTTCTTCTTAGCCTCTTCGTTGAGGTGCTCGCGCGTATTACGGATATCAGGATGTACATGTACCACACCAATAGGATTACCACTCTCTGTCCGGAGGGGGGCACCTCCACCTGGCCTACTCAGGTACTCCTGAGTAGTGGATATGTGTGTCAATACTTGGTGTGTCAATTATATTTGGTGTGTCAATACTTGATGTGTCAATACTTAGATTCATGCTCATCCGATAAATTTATCATCATTATTTTTTCTTACTGGCAAATCATGCGACTATCAAAACCAATAAGTAAATTTGTCATTATCCTTTTAACATTAGAATCGTGCTGAATTTGGGGTATTTGTGATTTGTGAAGGAGGTGAGAATGCCATGCCAGGTGATATGGTAGAGATAGCTTGCTTACCACAAGGGAGCCGTTAGCTTTGTCCGAATCGTTCAAAGATTTGTCTAACTTCATCATATGAGGTCCAGAATTTCGTGGAGCTCCGCCACCTAAAAGTTTTATTATTTAGAGCATGATCGAGTACTATAATAAGAGCCTTCTTCCTTTCATTAAGTCTCACGTAGGCTATTCCTTAATCGTTATTCAATGACGAACACCATTATAAAGATTATGAAATAAGCTGAAGAGAATATCGAGTGAGTTAATGAAAATATTAAAAGCTATATGAATGGTACCTGGTTTTCCCCAAGGATTGTAATTGTTCAACATTTCAAGATCCCTCATCTTTTCTTCGTGCCTCAGCTGATTCTGGGCTCTCCTTTGAGACTTCCGCTCCTGTAAATGTAAAATTTTATGCAGCTTGGTTGGATTTATGATATTGCAATTGATAGTGCATAAATTTTCAAACATTAGAGCAATGTAATTCATGAGATTTTACAATGAAGTTGCTGACTTATTACATCAATGTAGATTGAATTGTCGTTGCTGTACCCATTGCCATTTGCTTCACGAATACTGAAAATCACAATGATCTGTTAAAAGTTTACTATAACAGAAGTTTTGCAATGCAAAAAATAACCATTGTCCATATTTTGTTTGATTAAAAACCAGAAAAGAAATCATTGTCAAAACATGTATTGAGTTATATTTGGTTAACGATAGTGCATACCTTGATTTATTAAACACTGTCGAGGGTACATGCCCAGCAGCAGGTCTTATTCCAACAGGTACTTTTCTCCTGTGTGTCTCCATTGGAGTGATAAGTCAAAGGCTCTGATGATTGATTCCGTTGTTAACGTTTTCCTTTGGCATACTAGGTCATAAAATCTAAGGGTGTACTAAATTAGACAATGAAGAGAATACTTGTGTACCTGACATTTTTTAAATGTCACCTTATTTGGCTTCGTTTGACAATAATTAATTCATAATTCAATATATTTTAGATAACTTCAACTTATAATCAAGCAGATTATTTGATTCAGCGAAGGTTTTCCGAGTGATACAACAATTATTAGATGACTGGACAATTTTTCAAAAGTCAATTGATCGATTAGATTGCCCAGTAACTTTAAGTAATTTGTTAAATTTTCAGTGATTGGAAAGCGTTTAGTGAATGGAAAGGCTTCAGTACTTTTATCAAACTACTGCAACCATCAACCAGATTAATGAAAAAATCAGAGAATTCGGCAAAGTTCTTATCAGGACTCAGAAGTGCTGCAATTAATGTCACGGGCGCCAACATGCAACATTATACATCATAGAGAGGTGATTTCATTGCAATTAGAAACATGTCTACATTTAAGGCAGGATCTTAGAACTTAGTTGGGCAGTCTTACTTAAAGAGGTACACACTAATATTTTAGATAATGATCAAACAATTTCTGTGGAAAAGTGTTATCTAGGACTCAGGAGCTTAGGCAGGGCGACAAATATAACTGGACAGTTGCAGTATTCGTCTGGAAACTCTTAAGATTAATTTCCAGACTATGGGAAGTGTGATAGTAGCAGTAAGAGGTGTACGTGGGAAGGCAAAGAAGGCATGGACCGCCCCTAAATCAAGAGTCTCCTTCAACTTGATCCCCGAGGAGAAGAGTTATAAAGGATGATTTATGATTGTGCTCAGCCAATTGCATCACTTGATTTAATCAATTGTATGTTTTATTTTATATTTTCACAACAATGGTTCAAATAAATTTGAATTCACGATGCCTAGCAAATGGTTTCAAGCATTGACAATGCTACAATTGGTACAAGTTCGGCCATATTGCCAAACTTTGTACCCAAAACCATGCAACATGCAGCTCAGTGGTCTATAGAACTATTAAGTTTGTATCAAGTGACACAAGTTTTAATCTATAAATGTAAAAATAAAATACCTTACTCGGGATTATTACGACGGGTTTATTAACGACCGGTTAAAATATGGTTCGGGAAAAATATGGCGAAATTGCTCAAAACCCACCACATTTTCCCGGTCGCCATTTTACCGGTGTCCAACCTTTCAATTTTAGATTCAAAAATTTTGTCTCAGATGTAAATTTCCTTATTAGAGATAAGCAAGTTTAGAAATTTTCGCATTGCTAAAACTTGTGAAACAAGTCGAATTATCAATAATTGTTGAAAGTAGACAGAAATAATGACTCGTGGTTAATCGAACTAGATGGAAAAAATGTAGAAAATCTTCGAAAGAATGCATCGTTCACATTGTTTAGAATTATGAATAAATTACTGATGAAACTGATTCATGTTATTGACAGTTTTAATTAATTCAAGTTTTGATTTAACTGTTACTTTTACTTTGAATCCTATTTCATTATGTAGAAATAGTCAATACCTAAGAAATTAAAAATTGGCCTATTTAAATCAACTTTGACAATAAGGATATATGACAAGAATTGGGCATTATTATTATTATTAAATCTAAAATAGCTAATAATTTATTAAATTATTAACAGGCCCCTTAACGTGGGCAATAATATACGCTTTTTAAATTATATAAACAAATTGAAGTCTATTTTTCCAATGTTGTTAAGTGTCTCTTTAGATCTGTTTTGGTCTTTTCGTGGGAGTTCCCACATTTGTTGGTTGAGAATGCTCAACATAACATACATGATGCTTGACTGCTTTATTGACCCGGACAGGCACCGGGGGCAGACATCCCAACACCAGTGCGTTGGGACATAGTGTTGGTCTGCTTCAGGACGTGTTAGATCCTAGAGAAGCCGCCATCCCCTCTACTGCTTTAGCTCAGCGGCAGCATGAGCCCTGGTTTCCTGCCACATTGGTACCTCTGAAAGTACAGAAAAGTGGTGGATTTCGGGGTCCAGGATACTCCCTCTTTGTTCTTTGCCAAGAATTGGGCAAAAAGGTGAATTTTTTGCAATTTTAGCCAAATGAAGTCGAAAAACCTACAACAAGTGTCCCAATAGTCTTCTTTAGTGAATGTTAGACAACGATTAAAATATGAGCACCCATACCCCTTGGGAACCCTAAAAGCTGAGACAGCGGGTTTATTAACGACCGGTGAAAATGTGGTTCGGGAAAAATATGGCGAAATTACCCTAAACCCGTCACTTTATCCCGGTCATAATAATCCCGAGTAAGGTATATGAATTGAAACTCAATCTGCAACCAAACAAAATTAAGAGTTCAAATTCCTTGAGACAACAAAACGATATATATAATGTTGCCATGGGGTGGCAAGTCCCCATGCATCGTGGTCCGACAGTTTCATTGAGTCTTGATATTATTATTGTGATCATCTTTGGCAAAATAAATGTGTAATAACCATAATGTCAATTAACTATGAGATATAACTTCAAATAAAAAATTAATTACTATGGCTATTTTAAAAACAATCCTTTGGCCTTAATATCAAAAATAATAACAAATGATCAATTCTGTAATTAATCATGAATAAATAAAAGTAACATGAAGTTGTAAGGTGATCAATATGCGAGCTCTGCGCGGCGCTCATATCAGATATCTACAATCTAGTACATTTAAAATATCCTTTTTTAAAAATTACGTGTTGACCCCCACTGTCGCTTCACTATACTGTAGAGTTTCAGCGATACAGGGGGAGCCGCGCACTCGTGCGCGGCGGGTCATACAACGTATTTACCCTGCCTGTCATTCCGCTTAATTTTTATGAACATGATAGCATGATGTCCCCAGGTAAACAACGTATGTCAAAAATACCCCCAATACGAGGTATGGGTGTGTGCGCGGCGGGCTGAGTCGATGGTTGAACTTTTGAATTTATTTATAAAAATAATGCAAATGTGATATGAAAATTAAAACAACAACAATGCAATTATACAATTATTTGACGTGTCATTTTACTTTATAATTTTACCCTTTTCTTTTTATAACTTACCAGGATGCGCGCCAGGTTAAGGACTCGTTGACGGTCCTGATAATATTTGAAACAAATATTTTACAAGGGATAAAAAGTGGTAGTATAGTTAAGATATCAGATTTAGATATTAATTTAGAGCCAACAAATTGAATTGGCTACTTTTACTACTACAACAAAGGGTTTTTATGAAATTTTCTAAGATTTTTTATTGAATTTCTGTATAGAAATTTTTTATAGGGTTATTGTTATATTATGTGTATATTGTTTACTGGGCCGCGCTCAGCCTGTCATTCCGCCTAATCTCTATGTCATTCCGCCTAATCTCTATGTTAATGAACATAATAGCCTGGGGTCCCCAGGTAATATATTGTTTGAATAATTTCTTTTTTTTTTCTTTTGTAATATTTTACAAGTATCACCCGTTAATCGAAAAGGAAATGGAAAAAACGCACGGATATATGTTGAGCAATTTTTAAAAGGCACATAACACAGCGCAAAATAAGTAAAATAACAAACTTTAGTTTCAATTTTCAATAACTTCAGTAAACATAAGTACAAAGCTGTATTATGCTTTGAAAATTATCTACCCCACAGTTTAGTTTTAAGCTGCGCCATATAGTTATATAAGTGGTCCCGCAAAATTTAAATATTGTTCGATGATTATTCACTCAATACTGAGTACTGGATTTTTTATTGAATGCAGCATGAATTAAATTTGTTGATAAACCAGTATAGCAATTATGGTAGACATCTTGCTGAAAAGATCAGCCTAAAGAAAGGCCAACGATATTGTGATGTGATGTCATTTGTCAGACGCAGACTGCGTTTTGATCTACTCAGAACCTGTATAATCTCTATCAGGGGGTACAGAGGTACCAGAACCCTTCCACCCACGGCAATAAGTGATTTGGACCTTAACCTGATCAACACTCTTAAACCCTAAAAGGTCATGGAGTGCTTGTTGGATGGGGGTCTAAACTGCTTTTTGTTGTGATGTGATTTAGTGGATATATATTATTACAAAGGGTTTTATTTTTACCTCAGTTTTTAAATTTGTACCATTTTTACAGAATTTGTATATAGGGTCATTGCTATATTATGTGTATATTGTTTGAATAGTTTTAAGAAAAAAAAATTATGGTAGAGGTATCAGTTTATCTGTTATACTTCCTGTGTTTGAAGACGGCTCGTGTAAACAGTGTGGGAGTAATGACACTGTGAATGAATCGATTATCTGTAATGTCTGTGATGGGATGTTTCACTCCGCTTGTCGCAAAAAAACCGGTGTTCAATTTTCTGAGTCCATTTGTACAAATACCTTCCGTGCTAAGGTGAGACCTATGATTGCAGATCAAGCTCGTTGGGGTTATTTTCTATTCGTATGTGAAGATTGCATTTCACTGGTAGATGACACCCGTTCTTCCAAAAACTTTTCTCCACCTGGTCCACCTGTACCATCTGTGGTAGATGCTCCTAAGTCCAACCCTGTGATGAGTCATGATAATGGTCATGATGAAGCTCCTGATATTCTCTCCAAAGTTGAGCATCTGATGAGGGCAAACAACTCTGCCCTTCTGGAATCATTTCGTGAGGAAATGCATAGCATTATTGTCGACAAGCTTGCTCTATGTGCTCCAGCCTCTGAACATTCGCTGGAAGAGCGAGTTTCTAATGTTAACAAAGAAAACTTGCAATCCCGGTCTCCAAGTGCACTGTCCTCTTACAGCAATTTTGCTGAAGCTCTTGTAGGTGGTGCTAGTTCTCCTCAGCCAAGTAAAGTGTCCGCTAACATAAATCAAATTAGCAAGGAAAGTAAAGAGATATTGGTGCTAGATAGTCCCTTACCTTCTGCTGATATTTCATCTGCTCCAGATGTTCTATCTGAGTTGCTCTATGACACACGATTGATTGCTATGAAAACTAGCCTACTAGATTCACATAAGAAGATAACGCTAGTTTTTCCATCTT